TCCCATTTGTAGATATGTTTATACAGGCAGTCCCCAAGTTACAAACAAGATAGGTTCTGAAGGCTTGTTCTTAAGTTGAATTTGTTTGTAAGTGAGCACATTTTAAGTGCAACTCCAGCCAAATATAGAGCCCAAACTATAGCCCCCATGACTCCTTAGCATGGTGCCAGAGAAGTCAAAGTGGGTTCATTCTACAGCAGAGATGCACCCCAAGGTTTTATTTTTCCATTGCTGAAAGCTTTGGTGTTCTAACACTTTTGTTTTGAAAGAAGGAATTTTGAGCAGGCAGCCACTGTAACGTGTACCTTTGGGGGCCAAATTACAAAGAGTGCACTTTTGTGCTGCTGTGCATTACAATAATTTATTTTGGTTTCAGGGTTTTGGAAATTGAGGTGCGCACTAGATTTGCTGGTGCAAAGTAAATGCGGGATGATTGTAAGCTGTCTAGTTTACAATCATCAATGTTCTGGGAATGATATATATCATTTAGTGTGTTCTATTTTGTCTTTTTCTTGAGATAGAAATATAGATATGGTGGAACCTCTACTTAAGAGCACCCCAACTTAAGAGTGTTTTGAGTTAAGAACCATCAATGGGCCGATGGTTTCACTCTGACATACAAGTAGCATTTTGAGTTAAGAGCTAGTGCCAAATACTGAGTTTTAAGGCTTCACGGTGCCTTGTGCCGCCGTGCTTCCTGCTCTTTTCTGCTTGTGATTGCGATCCCCTTTGCTCTTGTCTGCTTTGGACACAGAGCTCCCATGACCAACAGAAAATACTAGAAGGGTTTGGTGGGTATTGACCTTGGGTTTTAGAGTTGTAGTTCACCTACATCCAGAGAGCACTGATGCATCTGGACCAAACTTGGCACGAATACTCAATATGCCCAAATGTGGACACTGGTGGGGTTTGGGGAAAATAGACCTTGACATTTGGGAGTTGCAGTTGCTGGGATTTATAGTTCAGCATTCTGAACTCCACCAATGATAGAATTGGGCCAGACTTCCCACACAGAACCCCAATGACCACCAGAAAAGACTGTGTTTTATCATTGTCTTTGGCGACCCCTTTGACACCCCCTCGCGACCCCCCCAGGGGTCCCGACCCCCAGGTTGAGAAACACTGTCGTAGCTCATCCGACAGGTAAGGTGCCAGTTGCCTCGCTTGTCGTAGATGGAAAAAGGCCTGTTTGCTGGCAGCAGCGACCTGAGCCTCCATCGTCAGCTGCGAATCCAAAACGACACCTAGGCTCTTAACGGTAGGCGATGGAGATAGAGCAGCACCATCAAAGGTAGGTAACGGATGGGTCGGACCTATCGGGTGGCCATGCCACAGGATCTCAGTCTTTGCCGGGTTCACCTTCAGTCTGCTAGCATGTAGCCAGTTTGACAGAGCCTCCAGGCATAAGGTGAAATTGTCAGGTATTGACGTTACTCCAGGCTCCAAGCGCAACAAGCTAAACATGGCCAACTCTTTAAGCCGCTCCTCATAGGGCTTGTTCTCCAGACCCTTGATCATTCTAGGCATGTGAAAGCACTACTTCGAATCCAAGTCTCCAGGGCAGTAGAAAACAAACCTGCTCCCTCTTCCTTATGGCATCAGTTTTTAACATCAGTAGAAATAGCTAATATTAACATAAATCGCTCGAGGGGATGTCAAGAAGCGGCCTGAGGTAACTCTAACTGAAAGGCCGTTCATGGCGAGAGAGAGGGCTGCTTCCTTCCTGCCTTGCTTGTGCCGGGGATTCAGGCGCGCGACGCTGCCCTAGTGGGCAAAAAAGGCGCGAGGAAGCGGCTGAGGGGGCACGAGCCATGGCCTCCGTCAGGGCGCCGCACTCTCTCCCTCCCTCTCTTTCTCTCCCTCAGGTGGGTGGGATGGAGGGCACAAAATGGCGCTGCTCCCTCCCGCTCCCAATGGCCCGGGCTCTGAGGCAACCCCACGCCCCCTGTCAGGGAGGGAGACAGGGAGGGAGAGCCAGGCAGCGAGCGGTGTGCCCGCCCCCGCTATTAGCAGCCATGACACTCTACTCTCCCCCCTTCTCCCCCTTGGGGCCCACAGCCGCCGCTGCGTCCCCGGCCTGGCGTGGGCTGCCCAGCCGGCCTGGAGGTGGCGGCGGCGGCGGCGGCCTTTGGGCCCAGCCTCCCGCCGCGGGGCGTGTGCCTCGGCTCTCCTCCTCCCCAGCAGGTGGCACCGGGCGCCCAGTCACCACCACCGCCTCCTCCTCCTCCTCCTCCCCATTGATTCGCCTCCCTCTTCCTCCCGCCCCCTTCCTCCCTTCCTTCCCTCTCTCTCCTTCAGAGGAGGAGGCGGAGGGGACGGCAGCCCCTCTCCAAAGTTTGGAGCTGGATGCGGGCGACGCGGGGAGGCGAGGCGAGGGAAAGTCCGCCGCCAACTTGTCCCGCTTGGCCTTCCTTCCTCCTTCCTTTCTGCCCATTACAGAGACGGACCTTGGTCTCTCTCTCCGCGGTGGCGGCTGGACCCTCCTTCCTCCTCTTTCCTCCTCCTCGTCGCACTTGATTCCTCCTGCCTTTCTTCTTCCTCCTCCTCCTTCCTGCTCGCACTATGGAGTTTACTGAGAGGAAAAGAAGCAGGAAATCCCAAAGCTTTAAACTGATAAATCAAGGTAAGGAAAAAGGGAAAAATAGGGGGGGAAGGGAGAAAGAGACAGGGAGAGAGGAAGGGAGGTCGTCGTCTGTGTGACATTTCCTTTTTGTCTCTGGGAAATAAAACAAGGAAGACTTCTAAATACAGAGAGTTTGGCAACCAGGATGTGTGACCCTTCTACACCTGAATAAAATCCCACAATATCTGCTTTGAACTGGGATATGTGGCAGTGTGGACTCAGATAACCCAGTTCAAAGCAGATTTTGTGGGATTTTCTGCCTTGATATTCTGTCTGGAAGGGCCCTATGTGTCCTTCCTTTCAGTGTCATTAGGATTATTTTAACTATTTAATAATCTTGGAAGCGGTGTTTTTGCGTGTTTTTATTTATTCAGAATCGGCACTTTTTTTCACATCAAATGTGAAAGTTAGGTGGCACTTCCTGGTCAATGCGATTTTCAAGAAGAGGCGAATCAGGAAATCAGCCAGACAAGGATATTTAGGGCCCTTCCACACAGCCATATAACCCAGAATATCAAGGCAGATAATCATCATCATCATCATTTAATTACTTATTAATCGCCCTCCATCCAAGACGCTCTAGGCGATTTACAAGCTAAAATGGTAAAGGATAAAAATACATCCACAATATTTATTTATTTATTTACGACATTTAGATTTATTTATATTTAATTGCCCTATACTTGTCTCGTGATGTTTTGTATCGATGTTGTTCACCACTTTGAGTCACCTGAGGGCTGAGAAAAGCGGTATATAAAATAAATAAATAAATATGCCGTCCTTCTCACCCCGAAGGGGACTCAAAGCGGCTTACAAGATATATATCCGTACAATATGTTCTATTATTAGCCTAGTACAATATCAGTATTAAATATTACTATATTGTACTATACCATTATATTGTAATATTATTAGTAATATTATATGTAATGCCGTATATACTCGAGCATAAGCCAACCCGAATATAAGCCGAGGCACCCAATTTTACCACAAAAACTGGGGAAACATATTAACTTGAGTTTTTGTGTGTTTTTATTTATTCAGAACCGGCACTTTTTCTCAGGCAGCCAAGACATAAAATGTGAAAGTTAGGTGGCACTTCCTTGTCAATGCAATTTTCAAGAAGAGATAAATCAGGAAATCAGCCAGACAATGATATTTAGGGCCCTTCCACACAGCCATATAACCCAGAATATCAAGGCAGATAACCCACAATATTTATTTATTTATTTATTTATTTATTTATTTACGACATTTATATGCCGCCCTTCTCACCCAAAGGGGACTCAAAGCGGCTTACAAGATATATATCCGTACAATATGTTATATTATTAGCCTAGTACAATATCAGTATTAAATATGGAGCCCCCGGTGGCGCAGTGAGTTAAACCCCTGTGCCGGCAGGACTGAAGACTGACAGATTGAAGCCTCCCACAAAGATGATAAAAACATCAAATCATCAATGCGTCCCCTGGGCAACGTCCTTGCAGACGGCCAATTCTCTCACACCAGAAGCGACTTGCTCCTGACACAACAAAAAAGTATTAAATATTACTATATTGTACTATACCATTATATTGTAATATTATTAGTAATATTACTTGTAATACCGTATATACTTGAGTATAAGCGACCCAAATATAAGCCAAGGCACCTAATTTTACCACAAAAAACTGGGAAAACATATTGACTTGAGTATAAGCCGAAGGTGGGAAATGCAGCAGCTACTGGTAAATTCTAAAATAAAAATAGATTCCAATACTATGACATTAACTGAGGCATCAGTAGGTTAAATGTTGGGTTGTGGTAGGTTTTTTCGGGCTATATGGCCATGTTTTAGAGCAGGGGTCCACAAACCTTTTACACAGAGGGCCAGGTCATAGTCCCTCAAACTGTTGGAGGGCCGGATTATAATTTGAAAAAAATATATGAATGAATTCCTATGCACAGTGCATGTATCTTATTTGTAGTGCAAAAACACTTTAGAACAATACAATAATTAAAATGAAAAAGAATTTTAACAAATATAAACTTATTAGTATTTCATTGGGAAGAGTTGGCCTGCTTTTGGCTGATGAGATAGGATTGTTGTTGTTGTTGTTTTGTGCTTTCAAGTCGTTTCAGACTTAGGTTGACCCTGAGCGAGGGCCAGGTAAATGATCTTGGAGGGCCACATTCGGCCCCCGGGCTGTAGTTTGAGGACCTCTGTTCTAGAGGCATTCTCTCCTGACGTTTAGCCTGCATCTATGGCAAGCATCCTCAGAGGTAGTGAGGTTAAATGTTTTTGAATATTTACATAAAACTGTAATTTAAGATAAGACTGTCCGACTCTGATTAAACCATGATACCAACCTTTTTCAGTGTAAATATGTTTGCACATCCTTTCAGTAATAAAAGAGTAAAATAATAAATGTAATAATAATAGAGTAAAATAATAATAATAATACAATTAAATAATAAATAATCTTGACTCAAGTATAAGCCGAATGGGACTTTTTCAGCCTAAAAAAGGGTCTGAAAAACTAGGCTTATACTCGAGTATATACTTTATTTTATTTATTCTATTATTTATTTATTTATTTAATTTAGTACATTTCTATACCGCCCCTCTCAGCCTTCCGGCGACTCGAGGCGGTTTACAAGGCAAGAATTCAATGCCACCAAGGACGCAATATACAATATTAAAACACCAGCAACAATAAAATCAAACATTATAATGAAACATACTTCAATCGATATTCATTAAAACAATGTCCAGTTCCGCCATATACATATTCCGTTATTATATCCGTTATATAAATATATAATTATAATAATCATATTATTATTAGTATTATATTGCATTACATTATAATATCTGCTTTGAATTGGGTTATCTGAGCCCACACTGCCAGATAATCCAGTTCAATGTGGATTTTATACAGCTGTGTGAAAGGGGCCTTAGAGAGAGAGAGAGGAGCCCCTTTTGGGGTTAATGGTTGGATTTCTGTGGGCACCTATGGCCCCTTCTACACTGCCATGTAATCCACATTATCAAAACAAATAATAGGCATTATTTGCTTTGAATTAAATTCTGTTAATCCACACTGGCATATAATCCAGTTCAAATCAGATAATCTGGATTTTACATGGCAGTGTAGAAGGGGCCCATATCAAGATTTGTATCTTTACGAATTGACAGTGTTTCAGGTCTGTGTTTCAAGGGAAAGCTTCCTAGAGGTTGTGTTCAGCCTAAGCATCCACAACACAGCTGATAAACTATACACCAGCAAAGGGAATTGTTGGCCTGCAACTTGTGCTTTTCCTCCTTGTGTGTTTGCGTGAGCTCCTCAGAAGAGAAATGGTCTTCAAACAGAAGTATCTCAGATGGTATAAAATGTATCCTCTCCATTTCATCTGGGGTATATATAGTTTCCTGGTGTTGCATAACAGGTGTTCTACTTGGGAGGTTGTTTCTCTATTTTAAATTGACTTTAAAACATGGCTGGATAAGATCTTTAAGATTGCACAGAAATATCTCCGGGTACTGCGTATGTGCTCGGCATGATAAGTTCAAGGCAGGTAATTTTGAGTATAATGCCATTATGGCTATTAGGTTCCGCATTAAATAATTAAGAAATCCCTTCCTTACTTGTCTTTTCTGGGAAATCTGGATATAAGGTTTCCAAGATCAAAATAAGAGGGGTTGTTGTTGAGGAGGAAAAAGTGACTTCAATGTTGGTTTTGTAAGGGGTTTTTTTAGTTTTAGGTTTGTGTTTGCAATATGATTCCTTAATTGTTAGACACTAAATAAGTGAAGACTGCAACTATAAACGGCTACACACTTAACTGAAAATGCAACTGTAAACTGTTTTGGAACTTTTTTCCTCCAACTTAAGTAACAGAATATAAATGTAAATTTAGCATATGTAAGATAGCTATGTGCTAGTACAATTCTTCCGTAAGATAACATTTGACAAGATAAGTTCTCAGTAATAAATGTAAATGTACAATATGTCCGGTGTTCAGATGAAATTATTTGACTTAAGTTTAGTAATTGGTTTTGCCTCTAATTCTTCTGAATACTCTTTTTGTTTTCTCCTATTAAGAAAACTGTACACAAAGCAATTTCTAAAATTATAGAGTTTTAGCCATTTCTGTGCTGCTGTGTTTTTTTGTGTTTTTTTTTTTTGTCCTGTTTGTATGGCATCTTATTTCCTGCAATGTGTCTTAATGGGTGTTTCCCTAGTGATAGACCTGCTCCTTCAAGTTTGGATCATAACATCAGTATCACAAACTACTCCTGTTTGCTGCCATGGAACTGATATGCACTTCACAGGTCCTGGACTCTAGAGTATCTTGAAGTAGGAAAAGAATGGGAGGCACTAATTTACACATTATTAACTTAAATTCTGTAAAGTTTAATATATTTACACAGCTGCAACTTTAAACCTTCCCCCCTATATTAAGCAGTTTATTATTGATGCTTTGTTCAGTAAAATAAATAAATATGACTAATTTAGAACTTAGTGGATAATAACCTAACTTGAGGTAGCTATTTTGGAGGTGTGCTCAGCCTTATGAATCCTCTCCTATGTTGTATCCTGCATTAAGCTCAACAGGAAAGATTCTTCAGAACATGTTAATTTGTAGCAATACCACAAGTAGAAAGTATGAGGAAAAAATGACAAAACTGGTTGCCACAGCAAAAAAAATAAAATAAAAAAAATTACTGTATCTCCATGTCATAAATTTCCTGTGAACCTTCCCATTAGTGACGGTGTTGAGTTTTGCTTGTTGATATTGTCTGTCAAGCACACTTTTTGAGTCATAACACACACTCATAATGTCTTTGGTTGCATTGTGTGCTGCATTTTGTCTGGTAGTGGACCTCCTGACGCTTTGAGCTTTTTAATTATCAAAACCTCGCCCAAGCACAGCAGACAAAATAGATTAAGCTGTCTGTTGATTTCTGAATCTTTTAAGGAGTAACTAAGTAAACCCAATGAAATTCATGGGAT